AATCGCACAGTTGACAGCAAATACACCCTGTTCTAACCAGCTTACACCTAACTGTAGACAGCTGTGGCAAAACCTACAACCCCTGGTAAAGTCCACATGTGTATAACCCCTTGTCTACGCACCCAGATGCAGCTGCAGAAAGAAGTATACTTCACAGCACAACAGCAGGCTGCTCTTTTTGCTTGCTAAACTCAGAGACAACACTGTGAGAGATAAATCTCTCCAAGGAAATGATGGTTATTCACAGATTAGTATAGCTATCACAGTAGAGCAGAAGCCAACCTCCCTGCAAAGACAGATGCAACCCAGGTAAACAAGGCATTTCTGGGAACCAATCTCAAATCTCATCTAACTCACAGGATACGTGGCAGAAACACAGCCTGGTTAATGGGAGTCTCATCAGTCTGGAAAGAGACATCTGGCTGAGATTTGTGACAAACTCTCTTCTGTACAAAGAGAAGCACTCCCCAGCTCATGTAGCACCACACAAGAAAGATCAAAGGTGCCCCAAAGCCTCCCGATGGGTAAGCAGCTGTACCAATAACAGCAGCTGGAAAACGTAACAGGAGACTCAGTCAGTCGCTTCCTCCTGCGCTGGGAGCAGAGCTGCGTCCTCGACAGCCCCCAGCAGCAGCCTCCTGTTAATTACCGGCAAGGAATTTGCACTCTGGCAGATAAAGTCATTCACTCAGCCACTTGCTAGTTTGCACAAAGCAGCTCAGCTCTGACAGCAGCTCCATCTGAGAAGCAACATTTGGGTGCCACGCATATGTAAGTGCTACAAGACATCATGTCTGCTGCAGAGCTTGTGCCACACATGCTGCTCTGTAGCTCAGAGGTTACAGCCCCTTCAGAAAAACCGGGGAAATTGTTTAAACACTCCTACACGAGGCATTTGGCCAGTGAGTTCAGCACAATGAGATGCCTTGGACAGAACCACTTGGTCCATCTCCCAGACTCCAGTTCCTGGGACATCTGCAGCACAACAGCTGCCTGGTGGCACAGCACGCACCTTAAAAATAGGCTTTGCACAGACAAACCTTTGCTGTGCTCCCAGGGAAGAATTGCTTCTTCCCTGCTTCCCATTTAAAAGGTGCTTATTGTCTTGAGATGCAACTCCAGCAATGCCTGGTCTGGCTCTCAGGGGAAGGATTTCAAGGAGGAAGATACCTATCATTCCAAAACCAGACGAGGAGAAAAAATGGATGCGATCTTTCCTTCCACTGAAGATATGCTTGCTAGACTAGACCTGGGAAGACACTTTTATTAAATTATTTTATGAATGTGTTACTGTTGGGTTTTAAAGCCAGCGCATATTAAAAACAGCCTGAGTAATCCACATGATTGGCACCATGCTGCATTTTCTGTCCGCTCTCCTAGCTAAATTATCAGTGAAAGCAGGACTGAACTATTCATAAAGTCTCTATCACTTAATTTCAAAAGACAAACTTCTTAAATGGCTTCAGGGCCAAATACAGCTATGTGATTACATAAGGATCTCAACTGAAATTTAATCAGCTTCATTTATTAAGACATTGGTGTTTAGGTTTTTAGGTTTAGGTGTATTGCAAAAACATGGGAAAAGTTTGACCAAGTTTGGCAAGCTCCTGATGCTGGCCACACTGTGTGAACACCCAGTGGGAGGAAGTATACCAAGTCCTGTGAAGACCATGTGAATTCCCAACTCCATATTCCCTGGTGCACACAAGTACTCTGCTGGCAAAGAGCACAAGTCTTGGAAAGGGTGAAGAGTTGCTCTCCTTACATGAAAAAGCAGCCAAGTCAGATCAAGAGGAAGCATTCAGGTAAGTTAAGCAAACAGAAACCTCTGCCTTTTCTCTCCCCCTTAACATCCCTTTTCAGCTTTTCATATAGAAAAACTACACTGAGGGAAACAGGCCAGGTGAAAAAAAAAAATCTTCACAAGGTTACAACAGATGTAGATACTGCAAACACCATGCTTTTAGAAAAGCCTCTAGATATTTGTCACCACTGTGTTGCTCAGGGGTTATAGCACCTCAGATATGTCTGTACCTCTCACAAAAGGGGAGCTGCTGGCCTTCCTCTGCTTGCCCTTTTTAGCCAAAATGAGACAAGTCAGATTAAACCATTTACACATAACTCTTTCCAAAGGCTGGCCAGAAATGGGTTCAGGATAGTTCAGAAGAACAGCTACAGGCCCCAGAGATTATTCTGAATGGCCAGAAAATTTACAAGGAACAGAAGGCAGGCCAGGTCAGAGACCTCTCCTCTTGGCAAGGCTGGATTCAAGAAAGGACTTGTGTATCCACAGCTCACACCAATATACTCATGCTGGTGTAAACCTCTTTGCTAACATCTAAAATTCATGGTGAAAATAACTTTCTCAAAGATTTTGAATGAGGTTTAAGTGAAAATGAAAACAAGAAAACCCCTCACTCTTACTTTGAAACAAGTATCCTGGTGCGACATGGAATGATGCCGGTATGGAAGTGGTCCCACACACCACCCTTTAGACCTCAATGGACAGAGTCAAATAGCAACTGGACTCCTCTCCAGTGTTTACTAGGTAAGTTGCTCCAGCAGGATGTGAACAACTGATTGACTTTTAATACATTTAATAGACATTTCAAGCCTCTCCCTTTTCCTCTATCATGATGGATGCTTCACAGAAATCACTCCATATGCTTTGGGAGCCCCAGCTGACAATATGAGTAACTTCACGTCTGTAGCATTCCTGTTAATATGAGTGAACAGCCACATCATTGAGTCCAACCCAGGAAGAAAGAGATAAAAGGGGATGTCTGAAGCTGGTGGCTGGCCTCCTTCCGAGGAGTACAGTTCACCGTCTATGGCTCTTGTGACTATTACTGAACCAGGCCAAGAAAAGCTCCCAAGTTCTGGCATGCCTCAGATTTTCCAGTCTGCATGAAGTTATGCCAGGAACATTTACTGAAGCAATTTCTTTCTTTCTTTCTTTCAAGACTCTAATTATGCACCTAACAATGTTGTAGAAACAAATGTTTTACAAGAACCCCAGTACAACCCAGATACATTTTCCTAACAAAAGGATTAGAAGCTTAAGGCTCAGTGTTAATACTCCAAATGTACCAAAACGGACAAAGTGCAAGCTGCAGCAGAAACAGAAGGCATAGAGAGGGTTATCGCTTCCAAAATCTGGAAAGGGAAAACCACACAGGAAAATGCCACGCTAATCTTACTGAATGCCAGTGATGCAGTAGAATAGTAACATGAAACATTTAGAAGTGGGCAACCATCAAAGCTGTCTCTGAATTACAAGCAGCTCACCTTCAAGCACAGTCCACCCCCTAGAAAATGAGGTCTAAATATCCCAGAGGGTGGGATGCTACCCGTGACTGAACTGACATTCACTGCTAGGCAGCTACTAGCAAAGAGGAATCAAACTAAACCCCAAAACAAAAGTTACCCGAAGTGTCCATTTTCCCTGAAACCAGACCCAGACCTCAGTCAGTCTCAAGTTTTGCTGAACTTAGACTGGAATCAAACCAAAACATTCACTGGTTTGACACTTGGACCGTTATCTCTGAAGCCAGTCATAATAATAATTCATTTATTCACTCTAGAATGAACTGGCCTTTAAAACCAAGTTCTGAACGTGATGGCTGTACATTTCTTCTTACTTTCAGTTTGCAGGTGAGACACAGAGACATGAAAGTACTTACATCTGGGAAGCTATCCAGGTACTACATATTACAGAACATTAGGCAGAAAGCAGGATTTAGCACTTCGACAATGTTAGTGACACCAATGAAATCACAAATACAGGGCCAAACATATTTTGGCTGTTTCTGTGGATTACTGATCCCAGAAGGTTTTACTCAGACCAGTGTCATCATTATTTAGCTGTTATTATAATTTTTCTTACGGATGCTGTGCAGCTCCTTCCAACAGAGGTGTTGGTGTATATTAACCAGAACAGATTAAGATTTATTTAGGGTTCCTAAGAGTAAACATGATCTGGCTTATTCAGAACAGTGCTGGAGAGGATGCATGGAAACGTTCACTACACAAGTATGTCACGCTTTGGGAAGAACGTGCATTACAATATTATCATGTACAGGCAGATGTGAAATGCTGGTCCACACTACAACTCAGTCCCATTCCCCTTGGTTTTCATGACAGCAACGACCAGAGTTCAACAGTGTTGGCCAACAACCACCTTGTCTAACTTCTGCTCCTCACCTGGCCATTGCAGGGAATTCACAAAGAGCTTTGCTCAGGGAAAGAGAGCAACAGCGAAGGGCTCCATCCTAAACCCCACTCTTTACCATAACCCGGGCAGCACAGTTCCACAGATGGGAGGCAGAAAAAGAGGGAACCAGACGTGTTTACGCTTTTTTTTTTTTTTCATGGAGCCAAACTGCGATGCTCTAGGGTGGGTCTCGCCATCTGGGAGAAATATGGAGGGAGAAAAAAAAAGCAAGGAGAGAGGACGAGCTGCCCCTCGAGCGGGACCGCTTTCCTCCGAAGGCAGGCTCGGCCTCCCTTCCCAGCCCAGCTTTAGTTCATTTTCCTCAAATCACTTCCACATTTACCCTGCCGTAATTACCAAATATTTTGTTTCTGACTTCACTTTTTAGGGAGGCCGCCGCACCCGGCAATGCAGGCACCGTTTGTTTTCTGTCAACAGAGCTGGGGGGGGTTGCAGCTTTCAAACGTTTTCAATGTCATTGCAGTGAAAGAAAGGAAGAAAAGAAGAGCGAGGGAGAGAGAGAGGGAGGGACGGAGGAAAGGAAGGAGGGAGAAAAGGGGGCTGCCCCCGGGAGCCCGTCCCGGCGGCGGGATGCAGGGGTCCAGCCCCGGCGGGGACACAGCCCCTCGCCCCCACCGAGGCGCCCGTCGGCCCCACAACTTCCCTCTCCGCCCCTGCTGCCACTTTCCCCGGTCCTGGCTGCTCCCCTGCGGGCTCCGCGGCGTCCCCGCTGTCCCCACCCCGTCCCATCCCGCTCCCCGTCCGGCCGCCGGGGCCCCGCGCCTACCTCGGCTCGCAGGCGGGCGGCGGCCAGCAGGGCGCAGAGCAACGGGAGAGTTTTCCAGATCTGCAAAAGAGGGAGCGGGGAGGCGGTGAGCGCGGGCCGGGCCGGGGCCGGCGGGGTGGCCGCCGCCGCCGAACTTCCCGCCCGGCGACCCCTCTCACCATACTGCGGGAGGCACCGGCGGGGCAGGAGGAGTTGCGGAGGCGCCTTCCCCAGCTCCGGCTCGCTCGTGAAGGAAAGGGGAGGGCTGCCCCTCGCCCCGACCCACCAGTCCGCGGCTCCACCCCCGGCCTGGCCCGACTCCCGCCCCGGGGCCGACTCCTCCCCGGCCCCCGCCCGCTCCTCACCGCCCCTCGGCGGTGCCCCCGTCCCTCCCGGGACCGACTCCTCCCCGGCCCCCGCCCGCTCCCCGCCGCCCCTCGGCGGTGCCCGTGTCCCTCCCGCCGCCGGCCTCTCGGCGTCCCACGGCGACCTCGGCGGCCTTTGAAGGCAGCCGGAGGCTGAGGAGCGTCCAGGGGACTCTGTTACCGCTCCACACCGCCCGGCTCCACACCCCGCTGATCAGAACTCGGGTCCGGGGAGTGTCCCCAAGTCCTGCCCCGGTGGGGGTGCAGGAGGAGTGGCGACAGCCGTAGCGGGGCGGGGATGCCCGCCAGCCAGGCCAAGAGCATCCCGCCGAAGAGTCGCAGCTGCCCCCCCCCCCCCCCCATTGCCACAAAAATGGGAAACTGGGGAAAATGGAGCACGAGGTGGCTTCTCCACAGGTGGGATTCACTCACCGACTCTACCTACTGTTCCCCCAGGCTCCAGCCCTGAGGCCACTGAAGTGCTGGCCACAGCTACAGGTATCACTCATGTCGGGATGTGGGCAAGTTTAAAAATAAGGGTTTAGACCCATATATGTTAGGATCCAAATGTTCTCTGAGCAAAACAGGCAGCCAGGGCTTCATGCCAGGCACAGGGGCTGAAAATCCCACCTGAAATCCTCATTTGTGTATAAATACTGGTGATCTTCTTGTTTTATCTCGTAATCTCTGAATTTCAGTAGCCTCCAGTAGCTAGAAGGAAAGATATGACAATGCAAAAAGACCCATTGCCTTGGGCACATATAGAAATCTGTCATAGCAAGCAACACTATGACACCAGTTGTCAAAGGCATTTTCTTGAGTTTTGAGGTTTGTTGTAACCAAAAATGGCACGCTGGCTTTAAAATACCATCTCACCCTGACCAAGCATGCCCATAAACTGTCTTCTTTTCCTGCTTTCTTCTGTGCCCTCAATGCAGGCAGACATCAAGGGAGATGCTGGCATGTGTACCTTCATTCACAAAGACCAAAGAGCATTCCCGAATCCTGCTGCAAGGATAAAACTCTGGGAGGAGTTACCCTAGATCCACCTCTGGTCTGTTCATGGCAGCTGTGCCATTTTTCTCTGCTTCCTCAGGTTCTGCTTTCTTACTCAGCTTTGGTTTTAGGACTACTGTTACTAATTTTGCATTTATAAAGCATCCTCCCCAGCAAGTTCTGTTTCTGCCTGTGAATGGTACTAGTCTATAAGTCCATCCTGAAGAGATGTCTAATTATTTCACTGTTGATGCTGAGCAATGTGGTTTTCATTGCTTGGTTTCGGTTTTTTAAAACTCACCTTTCATGATGTACCTCTTTGTTTTGGAGTTATTGATTGCCCTGCCTCATGATACAGCACAGGCATAGTTATGGCTTAAATCAGCTCTCCTCTACTTTGCAGAAGCTCACCCTGAGTCACCCTGAAGTGAGTGACACAGTAAGAAAAAACCTAATGGCAAATGAAAAATACATTTTAAAAGATTCATCCATTTCTGTGTCCTTGATACTCAGCTCTGTGCAAGCTGTGTTACATGAGGAGGCTCTCTATTTCCAGAGAGTAAAAGTGACTCATATCAGCCTTCAGAACAGAGCACTAGCAGGGGTCTCCCAGTGCCCTCATTCCCTTCCTGATACCATGGGCAGCCTCCTCAAGTAGGTGTGATTAGGCACTGTACTGGATTATGTAGGTCACCAAAAGCATGGGTCCTTCTTCTGTGTACTCAAAGGACTAAATATGGAACAGAAAGTAAAGGATTAAATCTCCCGTTCTGTGTTGACATTGAGGTACATGAAAATGTGTTTCGTCAAGTTAGTTTCTATCATGTGGAAACGGGTGGAAGGAAAAATCTTTGCTCTTTTGTGATGGACCCAAAACATGCAGCTTGAATCAGAAGCACTAGAATAAGGGGAAAGCAAATACATTTACATTTGTGTTTTCAAGCTGTGGCCATAATGGATAAGGTAATTCATAATTTCTAGCTACACAACCAAAGTATCATAAAAATGCTTTCAGCTAAAAGCTTTAATTATAAGGGTGAACGATGTTTGCCTGAAATTTTGAAGGCTTCAGTGCTCTGGTGGGCCAAAGAAATTGGGAATCATTGCTCTACAGAGAAGATGTTCTATTACATATGCCAGTATTTCATTTCTGCTGATGCTTACTTTCCAATCACTGATATTTCTAAAACAAACATTTTGTTATACATATGAGATTGCAAATTTTGAGATACATACTTATCCCCAAGTGGCTGCACAACTGAAATTCAGTAACAAGTTGTTCGTCAAGGCAAGCCTGGACACATGCAAGTATACATCTCATGGGTGGATACATTGTACTGTGTTTAATAAAACGCAAGCTTTAACAGAAGCTTTCTCCATTCTTGGGGCACTGTCAAGATCACTCCCCTGGATCTTTGGCGCCTCATGAGGATTGCTCTAAAAACTCAGCCTCTCCCTTATTACAGCATGTGCACACATATACACTCAAAATGATACTGTAAGCCTTGTTTCCCAGGGAAATGAGGCTAAACACACCAAAATTTACTTCTTAAACCCTCACCCAACCCTTGGGCTGTATCATGATATCACCCTCTCCACATTACCTCACTCCTATCCACCACCCACATCCTTCCTGCCTCCCCATTTCCCCTGCCATATGAAACATCTGTCCTAAGGGATGGGGTTGTGCTCACACTGCTGTGATGATGAAGTCAGCGATTTTCCTGCCTGCACTGTGTTTTAGGTTACAGTTCACAAAACCAAGTTGTTTGGCAGGTGGCCTTCATGACAGGACTATAGTTGCCTGCGTGACAGGATAACAGTCTGTCTCACTGAAGAGTGGGAAATTTGCAGCAGCATTATTTGGTGGAATTAAGAAGCTAAGTATTATTTTTGAGTGGCAAACCTGTTAAGGTTGTAGTTGAGAAGGCTCAGCTTGTGTGGCACTGGAGATATCTGTCTTGTCTTGAGCTATGTGAGCAGTGACTCCTCATTGACCAGACTTCTGGCACCTGAGGAAGAGCCAAAGGATGCCTGGGTTTTCACAGCAGACATAGGCCAAGACTGCAAGACATGAGAGGAAAGCCTGGGACAGGGTTATAACCTTGAATATGTGGACATCAGACCCAAATGAGCTCTAGGAGGACCACAAGGCCAGTGTGAGGGTCCGCAGAACTCTAATACATGGATCACATGGACACCTCAACACCTTCTTTGAGAACTCAGGCCTGCAGCAGCCTTCTCCAGGTGTCCCCCTGATGTGGCAGTGCTGACTTGAGTCCGTAACTACTTTTATGGAGTTTGGTTATTTTGCAGGTTGCAATTTATTAAATACAGGTTTGGGGTTTTTTTCTGTTCTTCTTACTTTGTTTTTTGCTTCATTCCCTTGCTCTTGTAATTTTCTTTTTTGTTGTGGTTTCCTCATTTCTTGCTCCTGCTCTAGCTGCAGTATTTGTACTAATCATTATTCCTTAAAGCTCTGTTTCAGACCTGATGTAATAAAGTGCTATACCTTCTCCTCTTTTTCTTCCCTAGTAGATGTCTTTGTTTTGCAGGTAGTGCTGGGGACATTGCTGACCAAAAGGCACACAAGTCTGGCACTAGCAGGCTATGCGGTTTGCATAAAATGCATTCTCTAATGATTAACATATTTGATAGTCTTTTGGATATTCCATTAGCTAGAGCAGGAAAATGTCTAAATACTTTGACAACTTGTCTCTTAAACTTTATCCTTGGTATCCCATATTCAAGGTGAGCTTTTCTAATTTCAGACAAGCTCCCAAAGGCAGCATTTCCTCACAGAATACATCCAGCACAGCACCCAGGTGTGATAACCGAGGTAAGCTACGCCCATCAGGAGTGGGCACAGAGCTGCACCCACGTCCAGTCAATGTAACCATATCCTCTCTGCATTTTCCACAGCCTGACCAAACCTAACTTGATATTCATAGTACCTCATAATCTTGAACTACACTCGGATCCAAATCATGGTGTAAGAAAGAAAAATCAGTCTCAAAGCCTCAGTGTGGAAACAGTCAATCTATCCTCAGCAGTGTGGCATGCTTCTATCTCAGCATGTTCCTCATGCCGATTCACTCCACTGCTGCCAGGCTAGGATGCAGCATAGATAAATTAAATACTTTTGGTTTTGACTCTGCTCCTGCACGTGCCCTTAGAGGCTGAGGGCAAAAGGCTTGTTCAGCCTGGAGAAGAGATCCTGTTTGGACCAGGAGGAGAGAATGAGGTCTCTTTCAACCTGAATTTTTCAATGAACTTGTTTGGTCTTTAAGTTTGGCACAATCTTCAAACTAAAAGAACTCTCACAAAAGTCCTACCTATCCAAAAGCAGTTTAATACCATTTGCTGAAAGTGCTCCCTAGGATGCTGCTTGTCCATGGCCAAACAGTTCAGAACTGCCAGGTCCACTAGCTGTGATCTGGAGATATGGGCCTGTGAGAATTACTGTGATTCTTTATGTACAAAGAACATGTCTCATGCATCCAGAGCAACAGTTGGCATGAAGAAAACAGTGTTCCCAAGCAATCCAATATCACTGACAAGGCTGCCCCCCAGCCTGATGGAGAGTAAGAGATATCCCAGCTGCCAGATGTGTGCTTCCACCATTGTGTAGATGATGGCTGGTCGCAGAGATTGGCTCATAGAGACTGCCTGGCACATCTATCCTGGTGCAGAGGAGGTGTGGCTTATCACTTAGATGAGCAAAACCATAATTTTATCCAAATGAGGCAGTCACTAGCAAGATATCTGTACCCACAGTTATTTTGTGGTGTCCTACCCTATGTGCTACTGCCTCAGTTTGTTGGATTTAAATCTGACCCCAAAAGCCCTTCAGAAACAGATGGATAATGCAACAGGCAAATGCAGAAACCTAGAAAATTAAGTCTTGGGACT